CCACAGGGGTGAACATGTGTCCCACAGAGGACACCGTACGTCCCACAGAGGACTACAGGTGACATAGCACACCTGTCTGTAAACAAGCAGGTGTGCTCCACAGAATCAGATTTTAAAATGTTTATTATTTATTTTGGGGAAAAAAACAGCACATTGTGTCTTTTCCCCCAGGCCATGTTCCAGGAGGAACAATGTGGGTTCCGTCCTGGTCGTGGAACACTGGACCAGCTCTTTACCCTCACTAGGGTCCTCTAGGAGTCACGGGAGTTTGCCCATCCAGTCTACATGTGTTTTGTGGACGTGGAGAAGTCTTTTGACCGTGTTCTTCAGGGTTCTCTGTGGGGGTGCTCCATGATTGGGGGCCCGTTGTTACGGGCTGTTCGGTCCCTAAACAAGCGGTGTGACAGTTTGGTTCCCATTGAAGGGAGTAAGTCGGACCCCTCAGGGTGGGAGGTGGACTCCACCAGAGCTGCTCGTTGTCACGATTCTGTTCATAACTTTTATGGACAGCATTTCTCGGGGGGTGTCAGCCAGGGGGTGGAGAGAGTCCAGTTCTGCTGTTTGCAGATGATGCGGTCCTGCTGGTCTGCAGAGGCTGTGATCTTCAACTCTCACTGGAGCGGTTCTCAGCTGGGATGAGGACCAGGACCTCCAGATCTGCAGCCATGGTCTTCAGTCAGTCCTCTCTGGGTTGGGGTTCTGCCTCAAGTGGAGAAGTTCAAGCATCGCTGGTTTTGTTCACAGTGAGAGAAGAATGGAGCAGGAGACCAACAGATGGATCGGAGCAGCTTCTGCAGTATTGTGGACTTTCTGCTGGTCCATTGTGGTGAAGAGGGAGCTGAGCTGTGAGACACAGCTCTCTGTTTACCGGTCGGTCTACGTTCCTACCCCCATTTGTGGTCCTGAACTCTGGGCAGTGACTGAAAGAACCAGATCCTGGTTCCAGGAGGTCTAAATTAGTTTCCTCTGCAGGGTAGCTGGAGAGACAGGGTGAGAAGTTCAGTTATCAGGGGAGACTTGGAGGAGAACCGCTGCTCCTCCATGTCCAGAGGAGACCGCTGAGGAGGTTCAGACATCTGGTAAGGATGGACCCTGAACGCTTCCCTATCGAGGTGCTCCAGGAAGGCCCAGCTGGGAGGAGACCCCCGAGGAAGACCCAGGCCAGGACTGGGAACACCTTGAGGGTCCTCCCAGAAAAGCTGGAAGAGGAGACTGTGGAGAGAGATGTCTGGACCTCCCTGTTCAAGCTGCTGCCCCCCCCCCCCCCAGACCTGAGTCCAGCACCAGATGATGGATAATAGTGATGCAACAAACTGGGACTGTCTTTAACTGGAGCCAGTGAAACTATAGTTCAAGTTCAAGTCAAGTTTATTATCATCTCATCACATGTGGTACATGAGGTGGAACAAAATGACGTGCACAGGCTCCCAGTTCCATCCAACAATAGTAAAATATAAAGTATCAAAAGAAACGGTAAATAAGGATCTAAGATATAAACTAAACAGTAATAATGTAAAATAATCCGGTGGATTAAACAGCAGCCTGAACATGAGTCTGTGGTGAGCAGAGGGTATGAACACAGCAGCATGAAACTATAACGTTTGACTGCTCTGATGCCTGAGTGAGACGTTTCATGATCACAGCTCCAGATCAGTTTCTAACAAAACATCACTTCAACAGTAAGAGCAGTTTGTAATGTCCGTTTGACGGAGGAGGCTGGAGTCCACGATGAACGGTGTCTGCAGCTTCATAAAGCCTCTGAGTCAGGCTTCCGTATCTTTACCGTCGCCATGGTTACGTTATCTCATTACCTTTTATTGCTTCAAACTGTCAAGATGCTGACAGCTTCGCGTTTATTGTTGGAACTGAAAAGTTCACGAGACAACTTCAGCTGTCATCCTCTGAAATCCAGACCTCTCCTGCCTTTAGCTTCCAGCTGGCTGATTTCACGAAACGTTCACCTCACCTGTCACCTGAACGACTACGAGTGACGCAGCGTCAACGTTCTCTCTGTAATCACCTTTGTGCCGACAAACTGCAGGTTTCAAGCAACACCTGTGGTCCTAACGGCTGCAGATGGAGCCAGGTGATGAAGTCGTTTACGGTAAAGCCTCCCTGAGCTCTGTGACCTTTAGCTGCAGACGGGCAGGAATAATTGCAGACTCTAAAATGGACCTTGTGGATGTGAACCGGTCCTGGGAGCCAGATGAAGAGGGTCGCTCTGTGAGTTAATTGGTGTTGAGTCTGAGGGGGGCGATTAGTTAATGGAGCCGCCCGCTGACCCGCCGACCCGCTGACTGACATGACATTAAGACCAGCACCAGCTGGAGCTCCCACAGACCGACTGTTTCTGTTTGTGTCGAGGGAAACGCCTAAAACACGAACAGGAACCGAGTTATTTCAGACTAATTTTAATTAAATCATTTAAAATGAGAGGACGTCATGTGGTGGTCTTAGATTGTTGGATTAATGCTCTGCTGCTAAAGTTTTTATTTTATTTTTATTTTGGTTCAAACAGCCTTACAAACTGTCCTGGTTCAGGTGGGACTGTGTACTTGTTTTTCTGTTAGCAAAATACCTCATGAACCACTGGATGGATCTTAATGAAACTCATTGGATGTTTGTCTATGAAATCTTTCATTTTTGGGGAGTCGACCCGATTCAAGATGGCCGCCACAAAAAAGTTTAGAGTTTTCCTCATACTGAGCTCGTTTGGTGTGGTAGTAGCTGAGCATCGTCTTCATCACGTACTCTGAGCATCGTCTTCATCACGT